AGACTTTTTCAAACTATTTTAGCGAAGTCTTCTCTACGTTTATTGTAACAAATACTTGTCCCACTCACACCGAGATACCAACCACTGAATCTGTACAGGTGACTGAGGAAACTGTCCTTCCGTTGATAACTAACCTCAAACCTGGTAAGACACGGGGCCCTGACGAGTTACATCCACGGTTGCTTTCATTTCTCGAGGACATTATCTCAAAACTCCTCACGACTTTCTTCAACATGTCCCTTTCACTCGCTCAACTCCCTAGAGATTGGAAGGACGCTATAGTTAGTCCTATATTTAAGAACGGTCAGCGACAGATAGTATCTAATTACCGGACTGTCAGTCTAACTAGCATAGTCGTTAAGTTGCTTGAAAAGATAATTCGGGTAAGGTTGGTAAGCCACATAGATTTACACAATCTGTTAGCTCCTGAGCAACACGGATTTCGTAACAAGCGTTCATGCTTGACTATTATTATTATAATTATTAATGGCTTTATTCAATATTATCTTTTTGGTACAATATAGAATTCTCAGCGCTTGCTTATTGCTAAGGAGGATTGGACAGCAGCCCTAGATAACGGTCTGTCTGTCGATGTGATATTCATAGATTTTAGCAAAGCATTTGACAAGGTTTCACACGTAGGTCTTATGCAGAAGCTCACGAGCTTCAGAATATCAGGTACTGTACATGAGTGGATAGGAAATTCATATGTGACCGCAGACAGAGAGTGAGGGTCAACGGAACGCTATCCGATTGGAAGCTGGTCAAAAGTGGTGTACCCCAAAGCACCATCTTAGGCCCTCTGCTCTTCCTTCTCTACGTTAATGAGTTACCGCTGTTACTTAGGTCGTCGACATTATTGTTTGCGGATGATGTAGAAATCTGGAGAACAATAAAAAGTGCGGCTGATCATCTGGATCTTCAAGCTGACTTAGACGATTTAGTTAGATGGGCTCGAGAGTGGGGCTTAGAAATCAATGCTAGGAAGAGTGTTCTAATGCACATCGGTTATGGTGATAGTTACCGTTACACTATTGAGGGTAAACCTCATCCATGCGTTCAAGAGCATAAAGACTTAGGAGTAGTATTAAGTCATGATTTAAAAACAACTACGCATTGCAAAGCAGCCGCTGTCAAAGGTTTTCGTGCGTTATGGTCACTTCGCCGAGCGTTCAAATCTTTTGACGAGGAAACGTTTCGAATTTTATACCCCATATATGTTAGACCACATTTAGAGTACTGTATCCAAGCAGCTAGCCCGTGTCTGGTAAACGATACTGACTCCCTTGAGCGTGTCCAGCGTGTAGGAACGAAATTAGTGAAGGGTCTTTCTAGACTTCCTTACGATGAGCGTTTAAAACGCCTAAATCTTTTCCCCTTGTCATATCGTAGGACACGAGGTGACCTTATACTGGCACTTCGTATCTTTAATTATGATTTGGGTGTTAATATGTCTTATCTTTTTACTCCCTACAGCACTAATAATCTCCGAGGTCATAGCAAGAAGGTTCATAAACCGCGATCTAATAAACTTAAAGTGGGGTCCCGTTTTTCTCATCGAGTAGTCAGTGATTGGAACACCTTACCCAAACAAGTGGTATCAGCCCCATCAGTGAATATTTTCAAAGAGAAACTGAACCTTCACTGGAAGGCAATCTGTCAGGATTAACACAGGTTCACCAACCTACTATCCTTATTACTGAAGACTGAAGACTGTTGCTGTATTCAATACGAGATTGGACCTGCAGAGTGTTACAAACTGCAAGGGTTCATATCCGTCGACGGACCTCCTATCCTCATTACTGAAGACAAATGTCTGAGCCAATGATAAAGAAGGTACCACAAGACAACATTTAGCAAACACTCAAGCCCTAGTCGAAATACATCAAGTTAATTAGACCCAAAAAGCTTTTTGATGCAAGAAGTATAACAAAAGCAAAGTTAATCACTTACTTACATACATACTTACGTCTGTTACTCCCAATGGAGCATAGACCGCTGACCAGCATTCTCCAACCCACTCTGTCCTGGGCCTTCTTTTCTGGTTCCATCCAATTCTTGTTCATTTTTCTCATGTCTATTTCCATTTCTCGGCGTAATGTGTTCTTTGTTCTTCCTCTTTTCCTTTGGCCTTCAGGATTTCATGTGAGGGCTTGTCTTGTGACGCAGTTCGGTGCTTTCCCCATTATGTGTCCTATCCACTTCCAGCACTTCTTCCTGATTTCTTCCTCCGCTGGGATCTGGTTTGTTCTCTCCCACAGTACGTTGTTGCTAATAGTGTCCGGCCAACGGGTCCGAAGTATTTTGCGTAGACAACTGTTAATAAACACCTGTATCTTCTGGGTGATGGCTTTCGTAGTTGTCCAGGTTTCTGCCCCATACAGTAGAACTGTCTTGACATTTGTATTGAAAATCCTGACCTTGGTGTTGGTTGACAGTTGTTTTGAGCTCTAGATGTTCGTCAATTGTAAATATGCTGCTCTTGCTTTGTCGATCCGCGCCTTCACATTTGCATGAGATCCACCCTGTTCATCAATGATGCTGCCCAAATACGTAAAGCTTTTTACATCTTCCAAATCTTCTCCGTCAATTGTCATTGGATTGGTGCATTCTGTGTTGTATCGGAGAATCTTGCTTTTCCCCTTGTGTATATTGAGACCTACTGCTGCTGAGGCTGCTGCCACACTGGTCGTTTTCTCCTGCATCTGTTGTTGCGTTTGGGATAGAAGGGCCAGATCATCTGCGAAGTCTAGATCGTCCAACTGCATCTTAGATGTCCACTGTAACCCGTGTTTTCCTTTAGATGTTGACGTCTTCGTGATCCAGTCGATCACCAGGAGAAGAGGCAGGGGTGAGAGTAAGCAACCTTTCCTGAAACTGGTCTTTACCTCGAACGACTTTGTCAACTGTCCTCCATGCACAATTTTGCAGTGTAATCCATCATATGAACTCTGTATTATATTGACTATCTCCCGAGGCACGCCGTAGTGTCGAAGAAGTTTCCATAGTGTTGTTCTGTCCACGCTATCAAATGCCTTTTCGTAGTCAATGAAGTTGATGTAGAGTGATGAATTCCATTCAATTGGTTAGTCCACAATGACCCGAAGAGTTGCAATTTGGTCTGTACACGATCGATTTTTACGGAATCCTGCCTATTGATCTCGAAGTTGGGTGGCCACAGAGTCCTTCATCCTGTTTAACAATATCCTGTTGAAGACTTTTCCCGGTATTGAGAGAAGAGTGATGCCCCTCTAGTTATCACACTTGCTGAGATCGCCTTTCTTCGGTATTTTGATCAGAAGTCCTTCTTTCCAGTCTTTTGTTACTTGTTCCTCATCCCAAATCATATTGAAGAAAATGTGGAGTATCCTTGCAGTTGCCGCTACACCTGCTTTCAGTGCCTCTGCTGGAATGTTGTCCGGTCCTGCTGCTTTGCCACTCTTGATTCGTCTGATGGCCATGCTGATTTCTTCAATTGTTGGTGTGCCAACATTGATTGGGAGGTCCGTGGGTGCTGCTTCGATGTTGGGTGGGTTCAGTGGAGCTGGTCGATTCAAGAGTTCTTTGAAGTGTTCTATCCATCTGTTTTGTTGCTCTTCAATGTTGGTGATTACCTCGCCTTCCTTGCTTTTCAATGGTCGTTCTGGTTTGCGGCAATTTCCAGAGAGTTTCTTTGTTATGTCATACAATCGTCTCATGTTTCCTTCTCTTGCAGCCTTTTCCGCCGTCATTGCTAGTTCTTCCACATATTTACGTTTGTCGGTTCTGATGCTCCTCTTCACTTGTTTGTTTACTTCTGTATATTCATCTTGTACCTGGGCTTTTTCTGCTCTTGTTCGACTGGTATTGATTGCTGCCTTCTTGTTCCTTCTTTCTTGAATCTTATCCAGTGTATCAACAGTGATCCATTCCTTGTGATGGTGCTTCTTGTGACCCAGGACCTCATGACATGTTGAAGTGATTGCCTCTTTGATCCCCTTCCAGTTGCTCTCCACAGTAGTTCCTTCTCCATTGAGTAGATCATGGAAAGCCTGGAACGTGTTGCTGAGGACTATCTTGAATTTGTTAAGTTTGTCAGTATCCTGAAGAAAGGCCGTGTTGAACTTTGTGATACTGTCCACCCCATTGTTCAGTACTTCTCGGGTTTCAATTTCATTTTGGCGACCAGCAAGTGATAATCTGATGCTATATCAGCTCCTCTATTGGTTCGCACGTCCTCCATCGTCCTCCTGAACTTTTTGTTGATGCAGATATGGTCGATTTGGTTTTGTGTAGAGTGATCCGGTGAAGTCCATGTGGTTTTGTGTATGCGTTTATGTGGGAATATGGTGCCGCCTATGACCATTCAGGTAGTGTTGCTGATAGCGGACGTCAGCGAGATGGTGAAATTCACGGTAGATGAGTTGCGTCGGATGATGGATTTTAAGCGGAATATCCGCAATATGTCCGTTATAGCACACCTAGATCATGGGAAGTCCACACTTACAGATTCACTTGTCTGCAAGGCCGGCATTATTGCTGATTCACGCGCTGGAGATGCTCGGTTTACAGACACTCGGAAAGACGAACAGGAAAGGTGCATCACTATCAAATCAACAGCCATCAGCTTATATTATGAAATGCCTGATGAAGATGTCCAGTGCGTCAAAGCGATCCAACCCATCGCTGTTAACTCAGAAGGAAAAGAAGAAAAAGGGTTTCTCATAAACCTCATAGATTCACCGGGGCACGTCGATTTCTCCTCAGAAGTCACTGCAGCCCTTCGTGTAACAGATGGAGTTCTTGTCGTAGTTGATTGTGTATCAGGTGTGTGTGTACAAACCGAAACGGTTTTACGTCAGGCTCTCACAGAACGAATCAAACCAGTATTATTCATGAATAAGATGGATATGGCAGTCACAACTCTGAACTGTGACATGGAAGAACTTTATCAAAAGTTCTAGAGAGTGATCGAAAACGTTAACGTCATAATTTCAGAGTTTGAAACATCTAATAGCACAATGGGTGATCTGGCGTTGGATGTTGTGAAAGGGATTGTAGGTTTCGGTTCCGGTTTGCAAAGTTGGGCGTTCACATTGATGACATTTGCTAGACTTTACTCAAGCAAATTCGGAATTGAACCAAGTGTATTGGTTAAACGTTTTTGGGGTGATAACTTCTACAACGTTAAAACAAAAAAGTGGACCAAAGAAAAACCAGCTTCTGACGGCGTTCGTGGCTTTAACCAGTTTATACTGTCACCGATCTACAAGGTTTTCGATACTATCATGAAGAAAAGTAAGGAAGAACAAGTCGAATTGCTAACGAAGATGGGTGTAACGCCAAATGAAACTGAAATGTCTCTTCCTGACAAACAACGATTGAAAACAGTATTACATAAGTGGCTTCCTGCTGGCGACTCGCTCCTGCAAATGATATGCATTCGTCTTCCTAGTCCTGTCACTTCACAGCAGTACAGAGTAGAAATGCTTTACAAAGGACCTATGGAAGATGAAGCAGCTATTGCAATGAAAAACTGCGATCAGAATGGTCCAGTCATGATGTACATTAGTAAAATGGTGCCGACTTCAGATAAAGGTAGGTTTTATGCATTTGGTCGTGTGTTCTCTGGTACAATTGGGACAGGACAAAAAGTAAAAATAACTGGTCCCAACTACGTTCCAGGGAAAAAAGAGGATCTTTACGAAAGGTCTATTCAACGAACTGTACTTATGATGGGTCGTTACACAGAAGCAATTGAGAATGTTCCATGTGGAAGCATCTGTGGGTTGGTAGGAGTGGATCAGTTCATTGTCAAAACTGGCACCATTACAACATTTGCGGGGGCTCATAACTTGAAGCAAATGAAATTTAGTGTCAGTCCTGTAGTCCGCGTTGCAGTTGAATGTCAAAATCCTGCCGATTTGCCAAAACTTCTTGAAGGCTTGAACAGTCTTTCCAAAAGTGATCCTATGGTCCAAATAACGCAAGAGGAGTCGGGTGAACACATCGTTGCAGGTGCTGGTGAGCTGCATCTTGAGATTTGCCTCAAGGATCTCAAGGAAGATCATGCTTGCATTCCTTTAAAAATAAGTAATCCCGTAGTTTCATATCGTGAGACAGTAACGGAGGAGTCAAATCAAACATGTCTGTCAAAATCCCCTAACAAACATAATCGTCTGTATATGCGTGCCTTACCTTTATCAGAAGAATTAGCACAGGACATTGATGATGCAAAAATCACTGCTAATCAAGACGTAAAAGATCGTTCTCGTTATCTAATAGACAACTACGGATGGGATGCTACAGAAGTTAGAAAGTTATGGTGCTTTGGCCCAGAAAACACAGGACCTAATGTTGTGGTCGATACCACTAAGGCAGTTCAATATTTAAATGAAATAAAAGATAGCGTTGTCGCTGCGTTCCAGTGGGCAACTAAAGAAGGTGTTCTTTGTCAAGAACACATACATGGAGTCCGTTTCAATCTCATAGATGTTGTACAGCACGCAGATGCTATCCACCGTGGAGGTAATCAAATCATCGGTACAGCACGTCGATGCCTCTATGCCTCTGTTCTTACTGCCAAACCATACTTACTAGAACCAGTTTATCTGGTAGAAATCCAAGGACCAGCCACTGCTATGGGAGGCATCTACAGTACTTTGAATCGCAAGAGGGCCATTGCACTTTCAGAACGAAAAACTGACAGTCCAATGTGTATTACCAAAGCTTATATGCCGGTTAATGAATCTTTCGGCTTCACGACTGATCTTCGTGCTGCAACTGGCGGGTAAGCTTTTCCTCAGTGTGTCTTCGACCACTGGCAAATTTATCCCGGTGATCCTCTCGACGAAAACTCAAAGCCTGGACAGGTAGTTGTGGAGGCGCGAAAACGTAAGGCTCTAAAAGCAGGCGTTCCTCCCTTAGATAACTTCTTGGATAAACTATAACACCTGACCATGTACAATGTCTGTTAATTAATAAATTGATTTCTTCTTCATTGGACCAGTTTATTGAAGGCACATAGGTTTGCAAATCTCTCACCATTTTTGTTTCTTTCTCCCAGTTCGTGTCGTCCCATGATGTCTTCATATCCAGTGTTGTCCATTCAAACCTTGACATTTAGGTGGGTCTCCCATCAAAATGGTCAGGTCCTTTGTTGGGCACTTCTCGACGATTGACTGCAGCCTATTTTAGAATTGATCTTAAGCGTCTTCATTGTAGTCATTGGTAGGCGCATAGCATTGGATTATGTTCATTGAAATGCCCTCTTTCTTTGTTTTGAACGAAGCTTTGATGATTCTTGGTCCATGAGATTCTCATCCTATAAGCGCATTTTGCGCTTGTTTGGACAGCATTAATGTAACTCCTTGCGTATGTGGGGCATTTTCTCCTTCATGGCTGGAGTATAACAGAAGCTCTCCTGAAGCTAGTCGTTGTTGTCCAACTTGTGTCCAGTGTGTTTCACTGATCCCAAGCACCTCTAGGTTGTATCTTCTCATTTCTGCAGTAATTTGGAAGGCTCTTCCGGTGTCCCACATTGTACGAACATTCCATGTACCTAAATAAATGGTCACTCTGGTTGTCAGAAGGGGCATCGGCCTCGTAACTTCCGAAGGAATTCGGCTTTCATCATGGGGCGTCATAGTTCTGACTCCCAGGGCAGAGTTTAAAAGGTTTGAATAATTTTTTTCTGGTTAGCGTTTTTTAGCGAGTCTATTATACTTTTACCGATTAGTGTGTTCACGAGTCATCAATGACCTTTTATTACACAAATAATGTAACTACATTATTTTTGAACTACTTCATGCTTCTCTTTGATACCAGTCCACTGAGGACATTCAGGAATGATTTTCATAGGATCTTTATCTGAATATTCAGATTTGTGTGGTAGGAACTGAACACCTACGGTTTTTGTTTGTCCTTTTCTAGTATGCTTCTCTGAGTGCCTTCTCCTGAATGATTCAATTGAAGGTGCGGACACCACGTCTTCGGGTTACGGGTTCCAAGAATTGATGACTTAGCGTAAAAACCGATATATCGCGGTTATTCCGTTCGTTCTTGGAAATCCTACTTGCCTGCTATGTTCACCGAGATGTCCAGATCTAGTTGGAAAAAAAATAGAGGATATATTAGGTCCAACATCATTTCTATTTATTTTAAACATCAAAATCAGATCACTTCTTAATCTGTAGTCGGACAGAGTAAAGGTGTCTAGCTTTTCTACTGCTATTTGTGTGGTAAACCCCGGCGTTCTCGAATTGCATGGACAGCTGCCCTCTGTACTTTTTCCATGATATCAGAGTAACCTTTTGGGCAGGGACTTCTATACACATAGATGACTGCCTTTAGGACTATGATTTATAGCCTGGGAATTAACTCAACTCGGGTTCATAATTTTTTGCAGTCTACTTGTTGACCAATCAGAGCGAAACACGAATTATCATTTCCGCCATCTTTCTAAGCAACGATAGTCGGCTTGCTTCATTCTTTGTGTTTTTCCTTCTGGCTTTTTGGTGTCGCTGCAGCATTTAATCTTTCGGTACTCAAAACGTTTGCAATGAGTATGTTATTCTAGGTGTCGGTGATAATTTTCTGTGATCGGCTTTGTTTTCTCGGCTTTTGCTACTTCTATTCAAATCAGTGTCATCCTTTAGCCGTGCTTAGGTGCTTTATATGATAAAATGTGGTATGGCTGACAAAATATCACTGGGCCCTGCCCAAGTCATCCGGCAGTCGGGTCACCAAATAACGAGCAGTTCACTGATCTTCGTTGACGTCAACGACAACCAAGGCGCACCAGATAATTTCACTCAACTGACTGGCCCACGCAACAGTGTTCCCACTCTGTTCTTTATACCTTGCTTACTCTTAATACCCCTCGTAGAGGAACATAGACCTACAACCAGCATTCCCCATCCAACTCTGTCCTGAACATGTCTATCCAGTTGGTTCCACTTGCTATACATCCTTTTCATGTCTGCTCTCAATTCCCAACGCAGTGTGTTCTTTGGCCATCCTTTTTTCCGTCCCCCTCCAGGATCCCATGTTAGCGCTTGTCTCGTGATGCAGTCTGATGATTTCCTTAATGCATGTCCTATCTATCCACAATGTCTCTTTCTAATTTCCTCCTCAGCTGGAACCTACTTTATCCTCTCCCACAGTAGGTTGTTGCTGATGGCATTTCGCCAACGGACATTGAGTATCTTGAGTGGACCTTATTGATGATGGCTATCGTAGCTATACAAGTTTCAGCTCTGTACAGTAGAACTGAACTGATGTTCGTATTGAACATCCTCACTTTGATGTTGGTTGACAGTTGTTTTGAGTTCCCTGCAGTTCTTCAACTGCAGGACTGCTGCCCATACAGCAGTCTTTTCTGAGTCCGGTCCTCACTTTGAATGCGTCTGTGGTCTGTTGTCCGTGCACGACATTGCACTGTAGTCCAGCGTATAATACTGTTTCTCTAGTTGTCCTGTGCTTCTTGGCTTCAGTTTCATCTTGACAACCATTAGGTAGTGATTTGAATCTATGTCAGCTCTTCTCCTATTACTGTAGTGACCTACTTTCATCAAGAGAATGAGATTGGTGTTATGGAAACAATTATTATTATAACCAATTTTACCACGGCTTGTTCCCCTGTACTTGCTTGTTTAACTATACCAAAACAAATACTCTCTTCTGTTGATTGTGATCTAGTACGCGCTTACGTTTGCTCAGTGATCCCGCTTGTATTCTTTTGGCACGATCTCGGTATTCTTTCGATACCACGAAATCGCCAACAAATATATCTCACAACAACTGGTGAACCCAAAACTACGAACACTTTCAATCGCTGTCGAATCTTCCGAAGAAGCCAATCGCGGTGAGACTGTTACTTATCTATCCACGTCTGTTGCACATTTTCATAATGATATTTTTTAATATATAATATTCTGGCAACAACTTAAGATGACGGATAACGATAAGAATAATATTAATATAATAGACTCTGATATACGCCTACCGAATCTTGCGCGTACTTCATTCGCGTGACGATATATTCCACGCTTTACTCGGGAAATTTACCTAATCAACTGTTCTCGTTGACCCGGCTGCTCGGTACGGAACGCATACGCACCACCGCCTACCACCCAGCTTCAAGTGGTTTAGTTGAACGGTTTCGTTGCCAACTTAAAAGTGCCCTTCGAGCACACGAAAACAACAATTGGTACGAAATCTTACCGCTCGTCCTCTTAGATATCAGAACGAACTTCAAGGCAGATATTCAGTGTTCCGCCGCTGAACTTGTATACGGCACGACATTGCGTCTGCCTGGGAAATTTTTCACACCACGGAGCAATAACGATGTCGGTAAATAAGACCACATTTATCGGCTGTCTGAATTTATGCGAACACTGCCTCCAGTGTCGACTGGAATACAGCATCGACAGGTCGCTCTTCCTCGAGAATTATCTACCTGTTCACATGTTTTCATACGAGTAGATTTGGTACGCGAACCTCTGCAACAGCCTTACGAAGGACCTTTCCACGTGATCGCTCGTCACGAAAAGACCTTCAAGACATAACACGTTGGTGACAGTGCCCTACTTGATAACTTGAGACCTAATTTTAGACCCATCAAACCTGATAGCGGGATCCCTACACCAACTTCAGATCCCACGCTAGATACATCAGAGACCTCGTTCTCACGTCCCGGTCAATAGCACGTGTCTCCTGCACCATGCACGGACGAGGCTTCAGTCTCACGTCTAGATCGGCAGAACACACCGCACTTGACTTCGGATGAGATTGCAGGCTCACGAAGTACGAACGAGATTGGCGCCTCATGTTCCGGTTACCGAATACGCCTACCCGTACGCACTCGCGACTAACCGCCCAATCAGCAACGAACACGGTATAGGACTCTCCCCCTATACTACTTACATGATACACCCTTTCTCTTTTTACTTGATTTTTTTTATCCTGGGCCCAAGCCTCCGACCGTCATCCGTTTGGTACCGTCGACTTCAGTAGATTTTGGCGAAAGCCGGCTTGATCACCCAAGCTCTTGTCAACGCACTCAGTCAATGTTCTGGTTCCGAATATGTCTGGCATACATTTGGTCTCGCGCTTGGTTGTTATGGTTTCTTCTGGTTTCTTGGATCAACGTGGTTCCGTCCTACGTCTGCAGCGTTTTCTGGTCCGGACTCCTACGAACGCGATCTTCAGATCCTGGATACAAACCAATCTGATGTGGTACGCCAACTCGAGCAACAAATACAGCACGTTTCTCCTGGTACCGTTTTACGTAAAAGACCTTCGGTGGCAACTCGAGGCTCAACGATCGCTTCCTGTTCTGCCAACCCTTTCGTCCTACAATCGCACGTTTGCTGATCAGTCCCACGAACGAAACCGCTACGTATCGAATGTGTAAACCCTTTCTAGCGAGGGGCTCCTGTAGTGACCTACTTTTATCAAGAGAACGCAATCGGTGTTATGGAAACAATTATTATTATAACCAATTGTACCACGGGTTGTTTTACTGTACTTGTTTGTTTAGCTGTACTAAAGACATTCCTTCTTCCGTTGATTATAACCTTACGAGAATTCGGTTACGCTCAGTAACCCAACTTGTAACCTGACATGATATCGTTAACAAATACATTTCGACTAGAGCCATCGACTGTCTTCTGATATTTGGCTTATGGAAGATCTTATCGGTTAACTGGCACGCAGTCTTCCTGTTGTGATGATCATAGTCAAACGCGACTCGACGCCACACTACAATACCTTCACATCTAGTGCTGTCCATTCCGACTTTGGCGTATTGGTCTCCCATCAGGGTGTTCAGGTTCTTTCCTAGGCACTTCGTTATGATCTATTGCAACCTCTCATAAAATGGATCTTTATAGTCTTCATGGCTTTCATTGTCGGGTGCATAGAAATGGATAACATTCATCTTTGTACTTACCCTTACCAATATATTTCTGTAATAACGTCGTTTCTATTGCATGGTCGTCAAAGTAGCCATAGTACCTAGATTCGACGAAAGGGTAATCCCTGTTAAGTACTAATCGTGTTGTGTGAGTTCGATGTTGGCTGGTATGTTAAACTATTGCCATCTAACTAGACATTTAGGTATAAAACCATAGCTTACAACACAGTAAACCTTTCTCCAGAAACGTTATCCATCGACCGTCTACTTCAAAGAAAAGAACGAATTTTGCAGGTTTTCTATGACTTGAGATGTCATTCCAGAATGTCATGCATGTCCGGTGCAACACAGTTCATCGTGGTTAATCGAAATTACAGTCATGGAAAAATTGACAGTATAGTCTGGTTCTTTAATAAAAATCATATCGCATGGATGTAAATATGACCGTTATTCCTTATCACGAGTGGGCACAACGAGACCACATCTTCTACAACCGTTAACTGGCTTGGATTAGTCGCTTCTCGATATACTGATTTCCTATCAAATATATCTTTGAACCTCCTCGTTTCTGACTTCTGATTTCACCAGGTTGGCACGTTTCGATGATAAAAAGTGTTGTTGGTTAAGGTGTTGTCAAACTCTGTATACTTGTGACATCTTTATTGGTGAGCCCAACGTGATATGGTACACCTGTTCGTAAACTTTGAGCTGTCCCCTTTTAAAACATCATGAATCACATATTGTGATTCTTGTTATAATTCTGAATATTTTTCCTTTCGTTAATTCCTATACTTCATATTCATCATGACACCACAAACTCGTAAATTATTTAATATAAAGACTCTTACGCCACCCTCATTTTATCTAGTGCCCGATAATAAACTAGACAATTCACTAAAATACGAAACCTACACAAGACCCTGTAAAATCTATCAGAAAAATAAATAAAAAGGCTCCAATAGCTTCGACAAAAAATGCAGGTAGTGAATTGTGTATCATAATACTGTTTTTAGCACTATATTCTATAACTACATATAATCCCATATTCTCAGCTCTTTTCTGAACCACCTCCGTTTGTCAGCTGTTTATCCACTCATACATTGTTCACACTTTTTTTCTTTATCCTATTAGAATGCTCAACTCCGCCTGGAGTCCCTCCGGGGGCTACTGCCGGTCCCAAGCCCGGATAAAGGAGGAGGGTTGGGCATGGGGTTAGCGTCCACATCCCGTAAAAAAACTAACTCGCTAAAAAAACGCTAACCAGAAAAAAATTATTCAAACCTTTTAAACTCTGCCCTGGGAGTCAGAACTATGACGCCCCATGATGAAAGCCGAATTCCTTCGGAAGTTACGAGGCCGATGCCCCTTCTGACAACCAGAGTGACCATTTATTTAGGTACATGGAATGTTCGTACAATGTGGGACACCGGAAGAGCCTTCCAAATTACTGCAGAAATGAGAAGATACAACCTAGAGGTGCTTGGGATCAGTGAAACACACTGGACACAAGTTGGACAACAACGACTAGCTTCAGGAGAGCTTCTGTTATACTCCAGCCATGAAGGAGAAAATGCCCCACATACGCAAGGAGTTACATTAATGCTGTCCAAACAAGCGCAAAATGCGCTTATAGGATGAGAATCTCATGGACCAAGAATCATCAAAGCTTCGTTCAAAACAAAGAAAGAGGGCATTTCAATGAACATAATCCAATGCTATGCGCCTACCAATGACTACAATGAAGACGCTTAAGATCAATTCTAAAATAGGCTGCAGTCAATCGTCGAGAAGTGCCCAACAAAGGACCTGACCATTTTGATGGGAGACCCACCTAAATGTCAAGGTTTGAATGGACAACACTGGATATGAAGACATCATGGGACGACACGAACTGGGAGAAAGAAACAAAAATGGTGAGAGATTTGCAAACCTATGTGCCTTCAATAAACTGGTCCAATGAAGAAGAAATCAATTTATTAATTAACAGACATTGTACATGGTCAGGTGTTATAGTTTATCCAAGAAGTTATCTAAGGGAGGAACGCCTGCTTTTAGAGCCTTACGTTTTCGCGCCTCCACAACTACCTGTCCAGGCTATGAAACTACGGGATTACTTATTTTTAAAGGAATGCAAGCATGATCTTCCTTGAGATCCTTGAGGCAAATCTCAAGATGCAGCTCACCAGCACCTGCAACGATGTGTTCACCCGACTCCTCTTGCGTTATTTGGACCATAGGATCACTTTTGGAAAGACTGTTCAAGCCTTCAAGAAGTTTTGGCAAATCGGCAGGATTTTGACATTCAACTGCAACGCGGACTACAGGACTGACACTAAATTTCATTTGCTTCAAGTTATGAGCCCCCGCAAATGTTGTAATGGTGCCAGTTTTGACAATGAACTGATCCACTCCTACCAACCCACAGATGCTTCCACATGGAACATTCTCAATTGCTTCTGTGTAACGACCCATCATAAGTACAGTTCGTTGAATAGACCTTTCGTAAAGATCCTCTTTTTTCCCTGGAACGTAGTTGGGACCAGTTATTTTTACTTTTTGTCCTGTCCCAATTGTACCAGAGAACACACGACCAAATGCATAAAACCTACCTTTATCTGAAGTCGGCACCATTTTACTAATGTACATCATGACTGGACCATTCTGATCGCAGTTTTTCATTGCAATAGCTGCTTCATCTTCCATAGGTCCTTTGTAAAGCATTTCTACTCTGTACTGCTGTGAAGTGACAGGACTAGGAAGACGAATGCATATCATTTGCAGGAGCGAGTCGCCAGCAGGAAGCCACTTATGTAATACTGTTTTCAATCGTTGTTTGTCAGGAAGAGACATTTCAGTTTCATTTGGCGTTACACCCATCTTCGTTAGCAATTCGACTTGTTCTTCCTTACTTTTCTTCATGATAGTATCGAAAACCTTGTAGATCGGTGACAGTATAAACTGGTTAAAGCCACGAACGCCGTCAGAAGCTGGTTTTTCTTTGGTCCACTTTTTTGTTTTAACGTTGTAGAAGTTATCACCCCAAAAACGTTTAACCAATACACTTGGTTCAATTCCGAATTTGCTTGAGTAAAGTCTAGCAAATGTCATCAATGTGAACGCCCAACTTTGCAAACCGGAACCGAAACCTACAATCCCTTTCACAACATCCAACGCCAGATCACCCATTGTGCTATTAGATGTTTCAAACTCTGAAATTATGACGTTAACGTTTTCGATCACTCTCTAGAACTTTTGATAAAGTTCTTCCATGTCACAGTTCAGAGTTGTGACTGCCATATCCATCTTATTCATGAATAATACTGGTTTGATTCGTTCTGTGAGAGCCTGACGTAAAACCGTTTCGGTTTGTACACACACACCTGATACACAATCAACTACGACAAGAACTCCATCTGTTACACGAAGGGCTGCAGTGACTTCTGAGGAGAAATCGACGTGCCCCGGTGAATCTATGAGGTTTATGAGAAACCCTTTTTCTTCTTTTCCTTCTGAGTTAACAGCGATGGGTTGGATCGCTTTGACGCACTGGACATCTTCATCAGGCATTTCATAATATAAGCTGATGGCTGTTGATTTGATAGTGATGCACCTTTCCTGTTCGTCTTTCCGAGTGTCTGTAAACCGAGCATCTCCAGCGCGTGAATCAGCAATAATGCCGGCCTTGCAGACAAGTGAATCTGTAAGTGTGGACTTCCCATGATCTAGGTGTGCTATAACGGACATATTGCGGATATTCCGCTTAAAATCCATCATCCGACGCAACTCATCTACCGTGAATTTCACCATCTCGCTGACGTCCGCTATCAGCAACACTACCTGAATGGTCATAGGCGGCACCATATTCCCACATAAACGCATACACAAAACCACATGGACTTCACCGGATCACTCTACACAAAACCAAATCGACCATATCTGCATCAACAAAAAGTTCAGGAGGACGATGGAGGACGTGCGAACCAATAGAGGAGCTGATATAGCATCAGATTATCACTTGCTGGTCGCCAAAATGAAATTGAAACCCGAGAAGTACTGAACAATGGGGTGGACAGTATCACAAAGTTCAACACGGCCTTTCTTCAGGATACTGACAAACTTAACAAATTCAAGATAGTCCTCAGCAACACGTTCCAGGCTTTCCATGATCTACTCAATGGAGAAGGAACTACTGTGGAGAGCAACTGGAAGGGGATCAAAGAGGCAATCACTTCAACATGTCATGAGGTCCTGGGTCACAAGAAGCACCATCACAAGGAATGGATCACTGTTGATACACTGGATAAGATTCAAGAAAGAAGGAACAAGAAGGCAGCAATCAATACCAGTCGAACAAGAGCAGAAAAAGCCCAGGTACAAGATGAATATACAGAAGTAAACAAACAAGTGAAGAGGAGCATCAGAACCGACAAACGTAAATATGTGGAAGAACTAGCAATGACGGCGGAAAAGGCTGCAAGAGAAGGAAACATGAGACGATTGTATGACATAACAAAGAAACTCTCTGGAAATTGCCGCAAACCAGAACGACCATTGAAAAGCAAGGAAGGCGAGGTAATCACCAACATTGAAGAGCAACAAAACAGATGGATAGAACACTTCAAAGAACTCTTGAATCGACCAGCTCCACTGAACCCACCCAACATCGAAGCAGCACCCACGGACCTCCCAATCAATGTTGGCACACCAACAATTGAAGAAATCAGCATGGCCATCAGACGAATCAAGAGTGGCAAAGCAGCAGGACCGGACAACATTCCAGCAGAGGCACTGAAAGCAGGTGTAGCGGCAACTGCAAGGATACTCCACATTTTCTTCAATATGATTTGGGATGAGGAACAAGTAACAAAAGACTGGAAAGAAGGACTTCTGATCAAAATACCGAAGAAAGGCGATCTCAGCAAGTGTGATAACTAGAGGGGCATCACTCTTCTCTCAATACCGGGAAAAGTCTTCAACAGGATATTGTTAAACAGGATGAAGGACTCTGTGGCCACCCAACTTCGAGATCAATAGGCAGGATTCCGTAAAAATCGATCGTGTACAGACCAAATTGCAACTCTTCGGGTCATTGTGGACTAACCAATTGAATGGAATTCATCACTCTACATCAACTTCATTGACTACGAAAAGGCATTTGATAGCGTGGACAGAACAACACTATGGAAACTTCTTCGACACTACGGCGTGCCTCGGGAGATAGTCAATATAATACAGAGTTCATATGATGGATTACACTGCAAAATTGTGCATGGAGGACAGTTGACAAAGTCGTTCGAGGTAAAGACCAGTTTCAGGAAAGGTTGCTTACTCTCACCCCTGCCTCTTCTCCTGGTGATCGACTGGATCACGAAGACGTCAACATCTAAAGGAAAACACGGGTTACAGTGGACATCTAAGATGCAGTTGGACGATCTAGACTTCGCAGATGATCTGGCCCTTCTATCCCAAACGCAACAACAGATGCAGGAGAAAACGACCAGTGTGGCAGCAGCCTCAGCAGCAGTAGGTCTCAATATACACAAGGGGAAAAGCAAGATTCTCCGATACAACACAGAATGCACCAATCCAATGACAATTGACGGAGAAGATTTGGAAGATGTAAAAAGCTTTACGTATTTGGGCAGCATCATTGATGAACAGGGTGGATCTCATGCAAATGTGAAGGCGCGGATCGACAAAGCAAGAGCAGCATATTTACAATTGACGAACATCTAGAGCTCAAAACAACTGTCAACCAACACCAAGGTCAGGATTTTCAATACAAATGTCAAGACAGTTCTACTGTATGGGGCAGAAACCTGGACAACTACGAAAGCCATCACCCAGAAGATACAGGTGTTTATTAACAGTTGTCTACGCAAAATACTTCGGACCCGTTGGCCGGACACTATTAGCAACAACGTACTGTGGGAGAGAACAAACCAGATCCCAGCGGAGGAAGAAATCAGGAAGAAGTGCTGGAAGTGGATAGGACACATAATGGGGAAAGCACCGAACTGCGTCACAAGACAAGCCCTCACATGAAATCCTGAAGGCCAAAGGAAAAGAGGAAGAACAAAGAACACATTACGCCGAGAAATGGAAATAGACATGAGAAAAATGAACAAGAATTGGATGGAACTAGAAAAGAAGGCCCAGGACAGAGTGGGTTGGAGAATGCTGGTCAGCGGTCTATGCTCCATTGGGAGTAACAGACGTAAGTATGTATGTAAGTAAGTGATTAACTTTGCTTTTGTTATACTTCTTGCATCAAAAAGCTTTTTGGGTCTAATTAACTTGATGTATTTCGACTAGGGCTTGAGTGTTTGCTAAATGTTGTCTTGTGGTACCTTCTTTATCATTGGCTCAGACATTTGTCTTCAGTAATGAGGATAGGAGGTCCGTCGACGGATATGAACCCTTGCAGTTTGTAACACTCTGCAGGTCCAATCTCGTATTGAATACAGCAACAGTCTTCAGTCTTCAGTAATAAGGATAGTAGGTTGGTGAACCTGTGTTAATCCTGACAGATTGCCTTCCAGTGAAGGTTCAGTTTCTCTTTGAAAATATTCACTGATGGGGCTGATACCACTTGTTTGGGTAAGGCGTTCCAATCACTGACTACTCGATGAGAAAAACGGGACCCCACTTTAAGTTTATTAGATCGCGGTTTATGAACCTTCTTGCTATGACCTCGGAGATTATTAGTGCTGTAGGGAGTAAAAAGATAAGACATATTAACACCCAAATCATAATTAAAGATACGAAGTGCCAGTATAAGGTCACCTCGTGTCCTACGATATGACAAGGGGAAAAGATTTAGGCGTTTTAAACGCTCATCGTAAGGAAGTCTAGAAAGATCCTTCACTAATTTCGTTCCTACACGCTGGACACGCTCAAGGGAGTCAGTATCGTTTACCAGACACGGGCTAGCTGCTTGGATACAGTACTCTAAATGTGGTCTAACATATATGGGGTATAAAATTCGAAACGTTTCCTCGTCAAAAGATTTGAACGCTCGGCGAAGTGACCATAACGCACGAAAACCTTTGACAGCGGCTGCTTTGCAATGCGTAGTTGTTTTTAAATCATGACTTAATACTACTCCTAAGTCTTTATGCTCTTGAACGCATGGATGAGGTTTACCCTCAATAGTGTAACGGTAACTATCACCATAACCGATGTGCATTAGAACACTCTTCCTAGCATTGATTTCTAAGCCCCACTCTCGAGCCCATCTAACTAAATCGTCTAAGTCAGCTTGAAGATCCAGATGATCAGCCGCACTTTTTATTGTTCTCCAGATTTCTACATCATCCGCAAACAATAATGTCGACGACCTAAGTAACAGCGGTAACTCATTAACGTAGAGAAGGAAGAGCAGAGGGCCTAAGATGGTGCTTTGGGGTACACCACTTTTGACCAGCTTCCAATCGGATAGCGTTCCGTTGACCCTCACTCTCTGTCTGCGGTCACATATGAATTTCCTATCCACTCATGTACAGTACCTGATATTCTGAAGCTCGTGAGCTTCTGCATAAGACCTACGTGTGAAACCTTGTCAAATGCTTTGCTAAAATCTATGAATATCACATCGACAGACAGACCGTTATCTAGGGCTGCTGTCCAATCCTCCTTAGCAATAAGCAAGCGCTGAGAATTCTATATTGTACCAAAAAGATAATATTGAATAAAGCCATTAATAATTATAATAATAATAGTCAAGCATGAACGCTTGTTACGAAATCCGTGTTGCTCAGGAGCTAACAGATTGTGTGAGAACAAAGAACACATTACGCCGAGAAATGGAAATAGACATGAGAAAAATGAACAAGAATTGGATGGAACCAGAAAAGAAGGCCCAGAACAGAGTGGGTTGGAGAATGCTGGTCAGCGGTCTATGCTCCATTGGGAGTAACAGACGTAAGTAAGTAAGTAAGTATGTATTAGAATGCTCTGGCTTTGTAAATAGTCTAATAAAAGAAAATTAGACTGATTAGCCGTACCTTAAATATTCTTTTATAAACATTGGCTGCTCTGCCTCTCGCCCTTTCTTATACTTGCTCCCTTTTTCAGCCTTTCTTGAGATATGAAACAAGTGACTTCATCCTGCACCATCCTTAGAGCCTCAGTTATTCTAAAGGAATATAAGGTCGCGATTTCTAGAAGCTCCCACCTTCAATGGATCTATCCTTGACCATCAGTTGCACGTCGCGATGCAAATTTCATGAAGCGCACCAACTGTGATACTGACTAAAACCATCTACATTCATATCTTATAAATTATCAACCCAGCTGAGTAATTTACTACAGTGGATATTGTATCATTTGTATCAATTTGATCTTGCCTGTAAACTGGCATGCCTCACGTTACAAACTGTTATTTGAGAATTAATTTATTATTAT